TTTTTGGGAGGTGGGGGGTGGGGGGGGGGACTGACTAATTAGTATGCTGAGGTGAAGCTGGGGTGAGTTAGAAAACCTCGACTTGCTGCTTTTAAGCTAAGAGTTTAGACAGCAGAGGAAAAGAGAGTTATCGCGTTTTTAAAAATCAATTATATGCAAATGAACACAGACTAACTACACAGGGGTTTGATCTTGTCAGATAGCCGTCAGTAACAGGTTGCAAATATATTAACAATTCAGTAAGTAGACCACAGCTGTGGCTAATTATCATGACGTTATACTTATACCAATCGTGAAGGGAATGGAAGGTTGAAAAAACGCCGACAAGTTGCTCAAAGCAGAAACTTACGAACAGAAAAGGGGGTAAAATGGTTGGGAAGTCATTATAGGAGTACCTTCCAGCAATCTATCCTGAGTAAAACAAACCAAGAAAAAAAGAGGGTATAAAACTATTAGATTTAGGTATATACATAAATCTAAGTCATGCTGATGTCAAAATCAATTGCCAAAGACAAATTTATTGTAGCAAAAATTTGTAATAAACAATATGCCTATTCTCCCAAGTGCTTCTTTAGCAGGCAGGAATCATCAAGACCGTCACGTATATTATACAACATGATACAAGGTATACCAATCAATTACAACAACCTATTCTTGGAGTGCAACCTATTCTTGGAGTGCACAAGGCAAGAACGATAAATCTACACATCCTCACCAGGATGTGTAGTCAATTACTCAATTAATCATGACATCAGTTGACAACAATTTATACATAAATCTAAGTCATGCTGATATCAAAATCAATTGCCAAAGACAAATTTATTGTAGCAAAAATTTGTAATAAACAATATGCCTAAAAAGAGAGATACACTGCTCCGCCCAGCGCTGTGAGCGTATCCAAGCAAACCGTGCATAACAACAACACGAAAGTTTCAACCAAAGAATATTAACATGTATGGCAGTATCGCAAACATGCAGAACCAACTAAACACTGTTTTCTACAGTTAGGGTATAGAAATTTTAAAATGAAGCATAAAACGAGCCCATAATTCAGATATTAATGCTGGCAGACAACACCAAACAGAACATTGCTCAGTTCAAACAATTGGACCACATTAACATGTCCATGCTATATTTGTAAATCATAGGGTCAACATTAAACATCCGCAGATAAGATATTTCTAGTAAATGTCTCATTGGGGAATGGGTACGCATATCTGTCATAGAAAACCTCTTGAGTTTTCCACCTGCCTATTTGGCGTGTGATCTCTTGGTCATTACCCCCGCGTCGCCCCTGTGGGCCGAAACGAGCGGTGTGTGAACCTGCCATCTAGCCCAGCCTCCTCTATGGTTTCCTTCATTACTTTGCCTATTGCAGTCGCGCTCAGTGCGCGGTGAGGTGGGCGTAACGACAGAAGCGAGGGCCCGTCCCCCTGTGTCACGACATGTGTTCTACTCATGTCACTCCTGATGCACGCTATTGGGTCAACGAGCAGATTCAGAGCTGGGCGTATGAGCACTTCAAAACCAGTTCGATCATTGTCATTTTTTATCCTAAAAAACATAAGATTTGCTGACCTATCTTCATTGAACTGTATGTCTCCACGTGTAAAATTGATATCCGAAGGTCTGCACATAGAGCTAGCACAAACAGCAAGCAGAGCAATTGCCTTTTGTCTTAACCTCTTCAGTGACAACTGCAAGTTCTCACCCCAAGCCTCAAATCACGCTACAAAAGCTTGTATGGGCATGATGGGCGTGCGCCCTTTGCTTCTTGTTGTGCATGTTTTTACCAAAACTGAAGAGTTTTGGGAAATTCGAGCCCAAAGCTGAGTACAATTGCGCAAGGGCTGCTAAAATGGATGTGAGCATTGGTTCTGGCCTATCAGAGTGCTCAGCCTTATGACACAGAAATTCAGCTATGACAGCCGACCTTCGTTCCATTGAGGGGGGGGAATTCAAAGTCATTTTCAACACAAAACTCCTGAAACATAGGAATATATGTGTTATACAGTTGTAATGTGGAAGGTGCCAGCGACTTATGAAAGCATGACGCTGCCCTGTCCGACCAGCCAAGGTTGTTCATTAACTGCTCTTTCCACTTACTCTCCAGGCTAATAGTCACCAGTTTAGGTTCTTTAGGGGCTCTGGCCTTTTGGGGGGGGGGGGGAATGCAAATTAGTTTGCTTTTTGGTAATTTGAGTGGGGCGCACACACTTACTGTGAGCAGTTTTTGAAACCAACTCTGGGCTCGCCAGGCCGGCGCAATCAATGTGGCAACGACTTTGTCTGATATGATTTTGTCGATGACCTTATTCATGAGTCGAATTGGCGGATTGATATAATTGTTCCACCCTGTCCAAGACTGACTGAACGCATCCATCCCAGATGTCAGCGGGTCTAAAACCGACTGTTGTACAAGGGAAGCTGTGCACTGGACATGTTTGTAAACCTGTCTATAGAGAATGGTCCCCATATATTGTGTTTAGGAACTGGAACATCTTTGGATGCAACTTTCACTCGTGTGCCGATCTGTACCTGCTTAACCCATCTGCAATTGTATTGTTCGCCCCTCGTAAGTGTTGTGCAGTGAGTGTAATGTTGTGTTTTATTGCGAATGCCCATATGTTGGACGCTACCTCTGTTAACTGACGGCTTGGGCCTCCCATGCGTACCAGGTATGAAACCGTTGCCGCATTGTCTGACAGTATTTGCACTTTGCGACCTTTGATAACATCTCTGAAAGCTAGTAAAGTCAGATACACCGCCAGTATCTCTCGATAATTTGAACATCTTTTTGCAATGTAATGCGGCCAGTAGCCTTGGGTTTGATATTCAGTGTTTACAATAGTGCCCCCAAATCCTATTTGCGAGGCATCGGATGCGATTTGCATCACCGGTTCAACTGCCCTTTGTGTGGAGTAGGTTCGACCGTGCCACGCGGACAAGGAATCATACCACCATTCTAGGTCTCTTCTCGATGCTTCATCAAGCATCAGTACATCCTGCCAGGATGATCTTGTGCTAAGCAATCTATACACATTTTGTTTAAGTAGTTTAAAGGGTAAAATTGCTTTTGTCATAGAAACACACTGCCCACATATCCGTGCTATAAATCTGGCTGAACCGGTGCCTTGAAGATAAAGGCGTCTAATGTCTTTTTTAAACTTTTGGATCCTTTGTTTAGGCACCTTACTTAATTAAAACTGCATCTTTACACAAGCATGTTTCAATTATAAAACATATGAACTCCTTAGAAGTGGTAGGCTCCAAGTTAGATTTTACAAAGTTGATTTGCCAACCCAAATTCTGAAGCGTTTTAACCACAAAAGCTGTATGTTCAGTTATTTGAGTCTTATCACTTCCACATAGAATGAAATCGTCCACATATGCCAATATACGGAGTGCTTGTTCTCTAAAATACTGAACAATTGTTCGAATAATTTTACAGAAGAAATATGGGCTAAAGTTGGCACCAAATGGTAAAACAATGAATTAGTAGAAAGAATCGTTCCACTTAAATCCCAGAAAACTGTGTGAAATCCTTATGCACTGGAATATGAAAAAACAAACAATTCTTAATATCAAAAGTCACGAGGCTGTCTTTGTGTCTCACTATGTTTAACACCGAATTGATGTCCTCATACAGAAACTTCCTTGGTGTACAAAAAACTGTTCAAGTGTCTTAAATCAAAAAACAAACGATAAGGACCATCCTTTTTAGACACAGTATTCAGCGGTGACACAAAAACGGTTTTTCTGAGCATTTTTCCACACAATTCTGTTTAACAAGCTTTTGTATTTCCTTGTGAATGAATTCTCTCTCTCTTCCTTTGTAAATTTAGCATTAGAATGAAGATGCACTGGTTGGCTAGGTGGACTTGAACTACAAAAAGGGATTTTCACACCATTTTCTATCCAGTCTAACACTTTAACAGCATATGTAACCTTTCTCCACTCTGACAGTTTCTGACTGATCGACGCTCCTTCGAATTCAAAAGGCTCCATTCATGACCAGGAATAGTGCCGTCTAGTCATTCCGCATTGGTCCTTGGGACCTTTGGAACGGCTGTCGCGGAAACTGTTGGGCTCTGAAAACTATAAAAACTCCTGCCACTACTGCGCCAGCTGGGTGTCGTGTAGCGGTACCCTTGGGAGCCCTGCTGATGCCATTGTGGCCGACCTCTGCCCCTTTGGTTAACACGGTTGCTCACAGCAGACAGCTCTGCAGCTATTCTTATGTTTTGAAGGGACTGTTCTGAAAATGTGGCTGAATTATTCTCAATGTTACTAAAGAGCCTATAGGTTTCTTCGTCGAATGAACTTTTCACCACAATGTTGGAATACTCCCCTTGTAGGAACTGGGTCGAAGCTAAAAGAATAGTGAACAGTGCGTTCACATCTCCAGCCGATATGTTATAACCGTCATTTTCGTCCTTAGGCAGCGAAGATAAAACCTTCAATGCCGTTTTTGTAAATCTTGCTGATTTTGATAAGATTCTTAATGCGTGTTTGAGCTCTTGTTTCACCCCAACTGGGGAGTCATGAACTTTAAGCCAAGGAGGCAAGATAATTTTGCAACAGAGCCACGAATGTCCTCAAACTCCTTCTGAATGCCAGCAGCACAGGCTCCAATAGCTGTGGGGCTGTCATATGTTGCACTGTCCCTGACAGGGCTCGGGTCATGCCGTAACTCAGTTCTACTATCTACCTTCACTGATTTTTCAACTGCAGTTAAGCGATTGTCAAACGATTTCATCAAGTTTGTAATTGTTTCTAGCTGCTTTGAGATAGATGTATCTGTCACTTGTTTCACTTCGTCTGCCATTT